TCTTAGCTCACTGCAACCTCCGCCTCCCAGGTTCAAGTGATTCTCCTGCCTCAGCCTCCTGAGTAGCTGGGATTACAGATGCCCACCACCATGCCTGGCTTATTTTTTTATTTTTAGTAGAGACGGGGTTTCACCATATTGGCCAGGCTGGCCTCCAACTCCTGACCTCAGGTGAGCCACCCACCTTGGCCTCCCAAAAGTGTTGGGACTACAAGCATCAGCCACCGTGCCCAGCCAGAGGCAACATTTTTAACACTGTTATCGTTCTAGGAAATTATAGGTCCTTTGAAGGAAAATTCTGTGGGCAAATAAGATAGTGATGTATGGTATTTCAGTTTTCCCAAATGTGGCTGGCCTGATCTGGTCAAAAATTTTATATATTTTTTAAACTGTAGTGTCTATTTTTTCCACTCAAATTTAAGGCAACATGCACAAAACTGGAGATTCGAAATTAAAGCCAAGATTTGTAGCTTCTCTGGAAAGACCTGGCAAGATTGGACTGGATTGCTATGTGACCAGGACCCCACTAGATGGCCCTCTAATCCCCAAGTCCTTACTGCATGCTCACCTTTGTTACCTGGCTGGCAGGTGTGGGGCTTTTAACTTTATGGCACCTGCTCTATTCTCTGGATCCTTCCTGGGGATTTATGATGCATGATAAAGACTCCGGGAATCTGGTTAGCTTTGCTTAACACAACATTTCCAAAACTTGTTGGAATGCATGAGCACAGTGACTAGTAGCATTCTGTGAAGTACAATGTATGGGGGCTTAGGAGTTTAGGGTAGTATACAGAATTAGGAATAGGATTTAAGTCTAATCCTAACTCTTAGCAGTTACACTGGATGACATTAGAGCGAAAGGTTCTTTATGTCTACATTTTCTTCATCTGTTAGATGTAATAATTTTCATATCAACTATGACATACAGTGGTAATTCCAATGAAATGTTACATGTGAGAAGTCTTTGAAATGTAAAATACACTACAGATACTGAAGCAGTTTGGAGAATTAAAAAACACTACGAAAACACAGCTTGGTAAATATTTTTTTTTTTTCTTTTGAGACAGAATCTGGCTCTGTCATCCAGGCTAGAGTGTAGTGGCACAATCTTGGCTCACTGCAACCTCCGCCTCCCGGGCTCAAGCAATTCTCCTGCCTCAGCCTCCTGAGTAGCTGGGATAGCCACCATGTCCACTTAATTTTTGTATTTTTAGTAGAGACAGAGTTCCACCATATTGGCCAGGGTGGTCTTGAACTCCTGACCTCAAGTGATCTGCCTGCCTCAGCCTCCCAAAGTATTGGAATTGCAGGTGTGAGTCACCGTGCCCGGCCAGGGCTTAGTAAATAATTTCAGTGGTGTTACACCTATAAGTCTCTTGCTATATGGTATCTTTTAAAATAACATTTCTTTTTTGAAACGGTTGATACTGGGTAATTTGGCTATCGTCATATACTGTAGAAAAAAATTGTCAAGTGAGAGGGAGAATAGGTAAGAAGGAAGAAAGGGGAGGAATTTAGTGAATGAACTATTTTCCTTTAAATATATTAATCTTGTAGATTACATTGAATTTATTATTATTATTATTTAAGGTATTGTTGAGATTCCATTATCTACAATCAGTTTTGGGACATTAGAACACTGGTATGATTAAGACTGTATTTTTAGAGCCGGGCGCGGTGGCTCAAGCCTGTAATCCCAGCACTTTGGGAGGCTGAGACGGGCGGATCACAAGGTTAGGAGATCGAGACCATCCTGGCTAACACGGTGAAACCCCGTCTCTACTAAAAAATACAAAAAAACTAGCCGGGCGAGATGGTGGGTGCCTGTAGTCCCAGCTACTCGGGAGGCTGAGGCAGGAGAATGGCGTGAATCCGGGAGGCGGAGCTTGCAGTGAGCTGAGATCCGGCCACTGCACTCCAGCCTGGGCCACACAGCGAGACTCTGTCTCAAAAAAAAAAAAAAAAAAAAAAGAGTGTATGTTTAAATTGAGAAATTTTGCACAACTTTAACAAGCAGCAGAACTAATCTTTCACTGATGGCTTTAAAGATCAAATAATTCTGTGGATACGTGAAACTGTGAGGGACTCTTGGTGGTTGTCTAGGTTTATTTGTATGCGTACTCATTAATAAAAGTTGTTTTTGTTTGTCTCTTGAAAACAAAACAGCTTTGTTTTAACAAAACAACAATGGAACAAATTTGAAAACCAACTTGACATTTTCTCTGGCTCATCCTTTAGTCTGGGTCAGGCATCTGCAACTTGCCGTGAGCTCTAGTCAAAGTGGATCAATTTGTGGCAAGTCACATAGGTGTCAGGTGCTCTTCACGAAACAACCCTGAACTCCAGGTTCTAAGGAGCTTAGGGAAGAAATACAAAACCCATGACTTCTGATACTGTTTATTACTAAGAGAAATAATCTTGTGATAGAGACTGACTTCTCAACTATGGCATTTGGGGACAGAAATATTTGTTGTAGGGGGCTATCCTGTGCATTCTAAGGTATTTAGCGTCATCCCTGGCCTCCACCCACTAGATGCCAGTCGCATACTCCAGTGGTGACAACCAACAACGTCCCCTCGGGCACAGTTGAGAACTACTGAGGTAGAGGTGTTTGTTGGGGGATAGGAAGTGGTGTAGCTTTAGCTGGTTGGTCAGCGGCTGCTTATAGGAAAGAGGTGACATTTAAGCTGAAACCAAGAGAAATGTGTAGGTGCCAGCCACATGAAAATCTAGTGGAAGGAAAACAAATGCAAAGGCTGTGGGGCAGCAGGAAGCTTATGTATTAAAAGAGAGGACCTTGTGTTCCAATGATTAAAAAACTAGCGAGTGAGGAGAGATGAAGAGAAGCGAGGCTGAAGAGATGCGCAAGGTGTCTGGATGAAAAGGAATCTATAGGTCAGGCACGGTGGCTCACACCT